TTCACTCACCTGGGCCCTGACCCACTGTTGACCTTCACTCACCTGGGTCCTGACCCACTGTTGAGCCTCACTCACCTGGGCCCTGACCCACTGTTGAGCCTCACTCACCTGGGCCCTGACCCACTGTTGACCTTCACTCACCTGGGTCCTGACCCACTGTTGACCTTCACTCACATGGGTCCTGACCCACTGTTGAGCCTCACTCATCTGGGTCCTGACTCACTGTTGAGCTTCACTTATCTCGGTTCTGTTTACTGTGGTTTGAGCTCTGGAGTCAAATATATTTTCATTCTAACTCTGGTTTCTCCACTTAGCAGCAGTGTGATTTGGGGGAGGCAAAGGAACTTCTGTGTACCAGCCTGTTGAGTGAGAAATGAAGATGAGAGCACCTCCTTGCAGGGTCATGATGAGTGTCGAGGTCCTACAGGTAAAGTCCTTCCCACCACAGCTGGGGCACCATGGGTGCCGGATCCATTTGCAGTTGTCATTGTTCATCTCCATGTGATTTCAGCAAAATTCCTTTCGCTCCTAACATAGTGCTTCGCTGTTGTGCCAATCATCAGTTCTAGGATGCTCTGATGCCTTCCCTTCTGAGACCTGACTTTAGACCTAGAAATGTCTCAGCAGTAATAGCCCCTAAGGTTTGCTGCATGTTTGTCTGGTGTCCAGCACCACCACGCGCTCACCCATGTTATCACGGTGAACCACGCAGCAATGAAATGAAGTAGGTACAATTTTAAGCTCTGTTATGGATGAAGAAGAGCAGGCCCAGAGAGGTTCGGTAATTTGCTCAAGGTCACAGGCCAGGAAATGGCAGAAGCAGTACCCTCCCAGCCCAGATTCCAACCAGTGCCCGGGTCGTGACCGCATTGTTCTGCTGCCTCCCGATTGGCCACAGTTCACTCCTGCGTCAGAAAAGGCCCGCGTCTCTAGAAGCCCACCAGGGCCATTGATTTACCTGATATTTCAGGTGATTTGACTCAGAGTTTTCCCTTCCAGCTGGACCGCCAACCCACGTATCACCCATCTCTGCATCAGGCAGGTTCACCTGTCTATTTGTTTCTTAAGAAGGGACCTTTGGAGAGTCTTCCAAGCCTCCAGACTGTGGGAATGTCCCAGTGGGCACCCCCAGAGTGATGCCTTCTATGGACGAGGACTTGCCAGTGTAGCCTCCCTGTGGCCGGCTCCTCGGGGGCACGGTAGGGCCAGCTCCAGGTGAGGGCCACCTGGAGGCCGCCTGCCTCATTCCTGAGACCGCTGTCGGCACACGGGGACACGCAGAAAAGCTGGCAACTAACTCCTCAGGGATGCAAGCTGCTGAAATGTGTTTCTCACGACACACTGAGGACTTTTGACAGACTTTCAAAGCTACCCTGTAACTGCAGATTTCAGCTTATACCAAAAACTTTCTAAATAATAGATATCCTAACTCAATAGATAACACAAACATTAATAACTACATGTTTTCCTTTATAAATATAGGAAATAAAAATAACAGAACTTAAAATTCTGCTTCTTTTTCTTTGTACATACTTATCTTCCTTATTTCTAAAACACTGAATTGTTCTTTACTTCCTGTCTTTTAAAGTTATAATATTTGAGCTTCTCCCTCAGGGATCTTGTCTCATTAAATCTTATTAACCCCAGAAACTCTATTTTCAATCACTATTACTATTTCTTCAATGCTCTTCCCATTAAGGAAGCTTCTCTGTTCTCACAGAGAAGTTTTTATGGTGTATGCTTTATTTACAAGCCTATTCCTAAATTTAAGGATTTTATTTTTTTTAAAGATTGTTATTTAACTATTTGACAGAGAGAGACACAGCGAGAGCAGGAACACAAGCAGGGGGAGTGGGAGAGGGAGAAGCAGGCTTCCCGCCGAGCAGGGAGCCCGATGCGAGACTCGATCCCAGGACCCTGGATCATGACCTGAGCCAATGGCAGACGCTTAACCAACCGAGCCACCCAGGCGCCCAAGACTATTCCTAAATTTAAATGAAAACCGAATCAAAGCTTCAAACCAACACACCAATTGAATTCTACTTTTCCTTTCCAGTTTTTCTTCTATGTCTGAGGATAACCAGATGGAAGACTTTGTAAAGACTGAATAATTACTCTGAATTAGATTTTCCTATCCCTTGCTTCGAGGTTAGCCGACGGTGGGGTTTGGAGCGACAGTCCCCACAAGACCACTTCCTCTCAGACACCAGCTGTAAGTCAGGGGTCTCCAAGACCACCCCCCAGTTTTGATAATTCTCTAGAAGGACCCAAGAGCTCACTGAATATTGTTTTGTTCATAGTTTCATTTTATTACAGGAAAAGAACACAGATTGGGATCCACGGAGGGAGGGGGCAGGTGTAGGAGACAGAGTCCAGGAAAGTAGTAAGTGTGGAGCTTCCTTTGTCCTCCCCATGGAGTTGGGATGGGGTGACTTTCCCCATATCCCCTTGTCAGCTAGGGGAGCCCCCAGCCTTGATGTCCAGAGGCCTCGTTGAGGGCCATCACGTCAGGGTGGCTGAACTTCTGTATGGCCAATCTCAGGCTCCTTCCCCTCTGGAGGTCCAGCTGATGTGTGTGGCCCAAAGCCCCTGCCCCTCATCACAGTATTACCATCTGGCCGGCTCAAAGCCCCCGGGGAAAACATATCTCTATCAAGCATGACCCTCCAAGGGCTGAGAGATGACCTCCCACAGCTGAGGCCAAAGGTCAACACTTCTTTTTGGGCAAAGCTAAATACTTTACTACACACTTATTTATTAAAAAAAAATTTTAGAACATATTAAGTGTTGTTCCTTTTGTGCTGGGGATACAAATACTTACCATGTTCATAATACTTCCTAACTTTAAGGACTTATATTTCAGCAGGGAAGGCCAAGGAATACACACAGGATTGTAAGAAACGCATGATAAAATTCAATAATAGCTACAACTGAAATGGGGTGGGGATAGAGTCTTCAGGGATGCCGGGGCGAGGCGGTAGCGCAGCTGGGGGGCCAGGCCCACGGCTGGGGTGTGCAGGGTCCCAGCACAGCAACTGCACGTTTTCTCAACCTTGGCTAGTAGCTGTCTTAGAGACTCTCAAAAGTTCACTGCGTCTTACTTTCTCTTCTTGCTGCCATACCCAATTGCCAGTCCCTGCTTCTCCTCCTCCTGAGGAATTCCTACTTCACCCCAGCGGGGCAGGGCTCCCGGTCTAAGATCCGGTGACTCTTCACTTCTCTTATTTTCACCTCCAGCCCCAGGGAGGGTGAGCCTTGGGGGAAAGGAGCAATGGTCATTTCTAAGAAAAATGGTTAATGTTTTAGAAAAAGGAGCTGGGAGTACCGCTTCAGAGGGTGGAAGTCACATGAATGTGGCCGAGTCCTGTGATGATCCGGAGCATGCGTCTGAATTTAGGGTTTGGGTACAAGAATTTCAGCAACCTCAGAATATCCCTACAATACAAATACCCGCAAAGGAGTGAATGACGGATGTAATCAGTGTTTCCGGCATAGGAAATCACTATGAACATAAGTTATTATTGTAGGAAAATGTTAATCCTACAAAAATAAAATTGTGAATGATTATACTCAAACTCCAACACAGGTCAAGTGCAGAACTGTGCTACCTAGCAGAAAACAAAAACAAAAACAAAACCCAAAACCAAACCAAAACAAAAAAACACAACAACTTTCTTTTTCATTATTTTTTGGGCACATGTTACAATTAAACAGTTTCAAGTTCAGAATGATGGAAAACCCCTAACTCTTCCGAAGTGGACGCGGAAGAGGAAGATGTGGACAAAAGCAGAACAGACAGCAGTCTTGGTGAACGGGCCCAGGTTTTCAGAGCTTTTGTCTCCCTGCTGCTGGAGAAATGGATTGAACAGAGCCACAAGTGGTGTTTTAAAATAGACTTTTGTGAAACTGGTCATTTTAAGTACGCTATTCATTAGTTTGTTCATTCAATAAACCTGTGGCCCACTGACCACGGTCCAGTCCCATTTATGACCCCTGAAGCATCTTTACAGAATAACTTGAATGTTATCTGATTGCACATGTGATATATTCTCAAT